GAACATATAATAGCGTTCGGTAAATATTTATTTACAAATTTATAGCTAGAAAATGTGTGACATCACACTGAATCAAGTTTGTTGCGAACTTACTCAAGACTAAGATTTGCTAGAGATTTTTCCTTCATCCTTTTCAGTTTATTTATGTGTCATCCAGGTCGGGCTATGTTTGTAGCACCCGACAGGTGCAAAACTGATCGACGATTCACCGATGTCGACACCTATAATTTAGGCAGCAAAGTGGCCAAAAACCACGAGATAAAATTCAGTGTTGAAGCGTGCCATTCTATATTTGGTTCAGTACCGCCATTACGTAAGTGTACCCTTGTATGATAAATACATCTGTACAAATCTTTAATGTCATTTATTTCAGGAATACATAGTTCTGATGAGCTCCAGAAAATGTGTGGAAAATTTAAAGGTATACAAGGACATCACAACTCTTGCTATCTTGATGCGACATTGTTTTCAATGTTCACTTTTACTAGCGTGTTTGATTCTATCCTCTACCGAAGTCCTGGACCGAAAGTAAGGCAATTAATACATCGAAAGTCTTGCAATCTAATTGTGTTCCAATAGGATATTCGGAATTACAAGGATGTACAAAGGGTTTTGCGTGATGAAATTGTAAATCCATTGAGGAAGCAGTTATTTGTGCGATCTGATCGCGTTATGAAGCTCCGTGAACTATTGGACCAACTTAGCTCTGTAAGTGGTCTCACATGCGAGGAGAAAGATCCTGAAGAGTTTCTGAACAGTTTACTATCACAAATAATGCGTGTCGAACCGTTTTTAAAAGTGAGTTAATATTCAATTACCTGATGAGAATTTAAATTAAATTAAATTCTGTATTTTTAGCTTAGCTCAGGACAAGATTCATATTTCTATCAACTGTTTGTGGATAAAGATGAAAAACTAACATTACCCACTGTCCAACAACTATTTGAACAAAGCTTTCATTCATCGAATATTAAATTGAAGGAGGTGCCATCTTGTTTTATTATTCAGATGCCTCGTTTTGGAAAGAGTTATAAAATGTATCCTAGAATTGTACCCTCACAAGTTCTAGATGTAACAGACATCATTGAAAACTGTAAGTTTTAAAAGCTTAAAAGTCATACCTTGAATTCGAATAGACAAATCAATCTATCATGCGTATCCTACCCTCATACGCTAAGCTTTGTAATATTGTATTATGTATTATTAAAGCTCCTCGGCAGTGCTCTCTTTGTGGAAAAGTAGCTGAATTTGAGTGTAATGAATGTTTTGGAAGTCTACAAGCCGGCTCTGGTCTTGAGTGTACAGCTTTTTGTGAAAAGTGCCTTAAAACGTTTCATATGCATCCAAAAAGGTTGGATTTTACGAATGAACATATATAGATTTAATTTTTAACGTTTATGATTCAATAAATGAACATCTCTTTAGGATGAATCATGTGCAAAAGAAAATCTTCATCCCCAATGACTTCCGGAATATGGCTGATCATATGACAGTACCACGAGTATACCTGGAACTATTTTCAGTTGTTTGTATAGAAACATCGCATTATGTAGCGTTCGTTAAAGCTGGATCTGGCCCAGATGCGCCATGGTGCTTTTTCGATTCAATGGCCGATAGAAAGGGTAAGTTGCACTGTAATATTTATATTCATGTTTGGATTGCTATATATTCAGGATCAGCGCTGCAAATGCTGCAATTTCCGTTGATTCAGTTCATTCAGTTGATCTCCTGTTATAGCCAGTTCATTGACTACCTTTCCAGCCGTTGGCGAATTCTCGCTAGCTTTAGTTGTTCTTTCGCTGTGCCTTTCGTTAACGAATTCCGGCCATCTTCAGTCAATCGTTTCTCGTTCCCACTGTTAACATATTTGTTCACAGCTGGACTGTTTTTACCTCTTCATATATTTTGTTATATTTTATTATTATAGGTGAACAGAATGGATATAATATACCGGAAATGACATGTGTTCCAGAGCTAACACAGTGGCTTTCCGATGAAGGTGCGCGCTCTATTAATGAAATATCACCTAATGATAAAGTTCTACCTGAACACGCCAAGCGTATTTTCTGCGATGCTTATATGTGTCTGTATCAAAGCACAGACACTATGATGTACCATTAATACAATTAATAACAATCGTTGTTTTTTAATAAAGATTTATCAATGCCTTAAAATGGTTTATGTATATCATATTTTAATTTGTTAAAAGGTTGAAAACAATTTCCTCGTCGACTGTGCAGGTCAGCCTCTTGAAAGAATTAAAGAAGATTTATGCTACTCCCGATATAAAATGCACTTAAATATTCCACTTTTAGATTTATTTAGATTTTATTATTTTGAAAATGTATTTAAATTATTAAACCGATTAGCTCCACCGATAATGTGCGTATGCACGATTACTTTCACACTGCTTATGCAGATCATCTTTTCTTTTTATAACTCTACCTTGGCCATGAGCAGCGTCCAGTATTTCCCAAGCTAGTCTCTCTGGAAGGCCTACTTTATTATCTTTTTCAAATGCTGCATCTAAAAGCCATTTCATAGAGAGAAAATAAGACCTTTTTTTCGTTATAGGAACCGGAACTTGATAGTTAACGCCACCACGCTTTATAGATGTCAGCTGAAGCAGTGGTCTACTATTTTCCACAGCATCTATTAATATCTTTTCTGCATTTGTATTAACTTTCTGTTTATCGTCTGGGGACAGGTGCATACGCTCAGTCTGCGCACGTTTTATTATTTCTAATGTTCTTGACAAAAGTCCTCTGGCTAAATTTTTATTCCCGTTTTTTGTTATATAATTCAACATTTTCCCTTTGATTTCGTCGTTAAAGACGGTATCAGAATAACTGTTTAGGGCCGGCTTTATCGGTATATGGTAAAACTTAGTCAGTTCACTTTTATTAAATTCTTCCATATCTTTTCTCTTGATAGGTTCAGCGTAATGTTTGGGAAACATAGACATCGAGCGATAGCTAAAAAAAACAGGTTCGTGAATAGATTGGAATATACATAATAGATGGGAGCCTTTTACCCATTGATAGAACATCGCAAAGCGTTACTATAAAACACCGCCATAGCGAATTGAATTAAAAATTAACAAATTATTATCAATCATGTAAGACCTTGCCCAGTGTGACCAAAGTATGAATATGTTCAATTTGTATCGATGCTTACACAATATTTTGGGTATTCACGTATAAGTTGGAAAGCTGCCTCGTTCTCAGTATATATATATTATGACTTTCAAAGTTAGTGCAGTAATGACTGTTTTTTCAAGAAGAATTTGGAAATCAATTGTAGTAAAACTTTCTTTACCTCAAACTTTGGAGTGTTAGTTGTGAAAACATTTCCCGATAATCGTTGCAGATAATCGGGTGGCAACTCTTTTAACCATAACAAACCAAACAAGAAAAAGAACGTGCAATAAATGTGACTAATAGGTTTCTTTAATTATTGTTATATAAGCACGCTCAGATACGTGATTTTGTTTTGCTTTATGAAGGAGCACCCATATAATGCCTGAAGCTCTACCGATAATGACAGGGGTGCTGTGGCCGCATCTTGGGAGGAAATGGCAATCCAGCTAAAACGAGGCCTCCAAAGAAATGGAATTTCTAGTTAATATGCTCAAGGCGATTGATGGCCTGGCCGGCAAGAGAACAATTGGCAACTGCATCTTGTAGACAAGAAAGAGAACACAGAGTCTTTTACAAAAGTCAACGGATTGATGCTGACACTTGTAGCAAGGAAAAAGCGCATTGGAAGAAAATGTTACCATCTTTCGCAGGATTTTTGATTCGTGTTGATAGAATGGATATATTAAAAGATATGGAATCAAAGTTCAAGTTTTGTACCAACCAAATAAAGCTCAGGTTTATTCTAGCTCTCAGCAATTTCATAGCCATTTCATGAGAACAAAAATATATAGATATGTATATATACCAAAAGCCCACTTAAATTTATTATATGCAAATAAATATACCTCGTCCACAAGACAATGTGCACAAAACACAATACACACACGATAAACACGATATTTCATATGCACACAATTGATAGTTCGTATGCATCTTAGAATATCTCAATTTATATTACGTTTTTCTTATAAAAAAGGAGGTGTAGTGTACTCATGCAGTGGGTTTGGCTCAATCAGTTTTAGTACCACTCTAAAAAGAAATTGCAATATGATGTAATCAGAGGCGGTTACTTTCACTGCCCAAAAGTGATGCATCTTGGATACATGCATTGGGCAGTGACCGCCGTTGTACGAATTCTGACGTCTCAGAATATTGAGCGTGGGAACTTTAGGGCTGTACAGGGCTTGCTTTCCCACACCAATAAGACAACAGAAAGGAAGCCACTCGCCTTTATGATTTTTGTATAAAACATTACTTGAAGTTATAATAAAGAATCAATTATTGTAAACCTAAACAACCTGATGGTTCTCTACAAGATCACTTATCCAATATAATTTAGCTCTTCAAGTACCGGGCATCATAATACTCAAAAGTATAAACCTATGAATATAAGAGTATACACATATGTGCATTCATAACTACTTTTACTTTATGTATAAGTAATTAATAAATGCCGTCACGCAATCATGGGCTTTGAATCGTAAAATAAAACTTGTGGTTTTGAGCTTGATACGCTTCAAGATTCGATTAATTGGAAATATTACTTACATAATCAGACTCAGTACTGTTTTTTGCTGTTACGAGCATATAAATGCTTTCTTCGAAAAGAAATAGATCATTTACATTAGAGACAATCAAATACAAGCTGCGTTTAAAATAAAATCAGAAATATATTTAAGCAATGAACCATCTGGTGAGTAATGATCTAAAGAGCAACCAGTTTTATCAACATTTTTATTCTAAAACGTATTGAAATCCTCTCTGAACAAAAAACTTTTTGTTTAGATTCGTTTTTTTACTAGATTTTTCATCGTTATGATATTAATAATTGGAAAAGCCGTCTATTGTAATTCTAATGCCATGAATAAACATACCAATATAAGAAATTCTGACATTTCTGATTTTGGAGAATCTATCCTTCGTCGTACCGTAAAAAACCCAGAACAATTCGAGCTAGCATATTATCATGAAGCAGCTGATCAAAACATGGCTCTTAAACAAGTCTCTCAAAAATATAACAAGCCTTCTTATAACAGAACAACAGATCCAAAATTCGAATCAATAAGCACGCGAAAGAAAAAAAAGTCCACTCAATTCGATAATTCAAATAATAAAAATACACATTCTTTTGAGGAAATACATGAACATATTGATGAAACATATGACAGTGGCTCCCAGTACCAAGCATCGGAACCTTTTGAATCTGAAACTTTACCACACACAAATGTGGAAAATAAAACAAACAAAAAACATCGAAACCACGTTAAAACTAAAATTAAACATCACCATCATCATCATCATCATAACCATATTAAAGAGCTTATAAAAACAATACCACAACCATATTCGGTTGAAAAAGTTGTGCATGTACCAATTGAAAAAGTGGTAGAAAAAGTTGTGCATGTTCCTAAATTTATAAATGTTACCATAGAGAAAATTGTACACGTACCAATAGAAAAAATAGTCGAAAAAGTGATTCATATCCCAAAACCGTATGTTGTTGAAAAATTAGTTGAAAAAATAATTCATGTTCCCAAACCATATCCTGTTCTTAGAACCGTTCCGTATCCAATTGAAATTAAAGTTCCGATTCAAGTTGAAAAAAAAGTACCGTTTCCATACAAGGTTGAAATTGAAAGAAAAGTTCCCGTTTATATTCAAACAAAAGAGCCATATACATTTGAGAAGTCAAGTACTGAACACTACAGTCAATTCGACCAGCCGAAATTTAACATTGAAAGGGGCCTGGGGAACCATCATTACAATAATCAATTCGACCAGCCGAAATTTAACACTGAAAGGGGCCTGGGGAACCATCATCACAGTAGTCAATTCGATCAGCCGAAATTTAACATTGAAAGCGGCCTGGGAAACCATCATTACAATAGGGTTTATAAATTCAAAGAACAAAAAATTCCTAATAAAATAGAAGACCTTCAATATACTGTTGAAACGAAAAATAATAAACATTTAGAGAATAGCGGCAGTCAACAGTATGCATCTGCAAGCGAAAATATGCCCTGGAAATTTGTAGGCAGCAATTCACAGCTTTTAGTGAACATGAACAATGAAGGTCAAGGGAAGCCGCCGAAATTCCATATTGAAAGCGACAATATGGGGGCTAAAGAGTATGCAAAATCTACGCTACCACCGAAACACGTTCAGCATCAGTTATATAACATAAAAGAAATAAACCTCCCTTATAATGCAGCTAACTTTCAAAAAACGTTTCAACCAGAGTACACAAATTTCGATTTAACCAGTAGCGCGATTCAACAAAATATATCTGCAAGCGATAAAATTCCCTTAACATTTTTAAATGGCAATGTACAGCCCGATATGAACAAATCTGAATCAGACCCATCTGGCCTAGCTTTACCACTTATTAATAACACACACTTTATTATAAGCCCAGAAGAATCTACATATTCCTTTCAAGGCATACCGTTTTCGCTACCAGCAAATTTTGGTTACCTGCAATCAGCGGACACTCAAAAAAATTTAAACTTGGATTTATCGATGCCAGAAAAGACCGAAGAGTCATCAAAAATTTAAAAGAGTTCTTCCCTAATTCTATTCTATGTGGCACATTACGTTACTTTAAAATGACTTGTGAAAAAGAGAAAATTGATTGATGAACTAAAGTAGTTAGTTATTAAAATAATGTTTCGTTATTTATGTTATAAATAATTTAAGCAGTAACCAAGTTGACTGAGCCGCGACAAAATAAATAGTAGTCGTGCATCATATTGGGTTGTTTTCTTATTATTAGCATAAGCATTTCATCCACATCCTTCCACAGCGAGTATATCGTTTAATCTTTCAAATATCTTTCAAATCGATGATAAATTTAAGGCAGCGAAGATCTGATCAGAATCGTATTCGAAAGCAGCGCGATTCAAGTCCACACTTGAAACTGTAATATTTTGTCGAATTGTATAAGTATACGGCGCGAGCCTGTTTAATATGGGAAAGCTTCCTTCAATTTTCTTTTGCCAGCAAACAAATAAGACAAGGAGGAACGTTGTGAGAGGCGCTGCTATGCGATATAAACTGCAAATTAATTTCTTCATTCTGGCTATAAAAATAATCCAATCTGATTCTTGTCGTGGTTTAAGATTGAAAATATCAATTAGTCGATAGTTCCGGTGTACGGTCCCACCAAAGGAACCACACAAACAAAACTAGAAATTAAAAAAAAATCGATATTTGCACACCCATAGAATCATTTTATAAGCATATGTGCATGTGGTGAAATTAATTAAGTAGACAGTGTTTAGTGAAATTACCTTCATTAAAGGCTCTGTTCAGGGGATTCATAATATAATTTCCACAGCCGTTGCATAATGCTGACAAGGTATTAACAGTCACTTAAAAAAAAACAGTATGTACGTACGTACGTATGTATAAACTGGCGAAAATTAGTTGATAACAATCTTTCAAGATATTTATTTGTTATGAAATTACTAATAACATCTCGTTTACCTGCTAGCCCTTTGCAATGTATACCAACTAATTTACGTACACACATATGTATTATATATTTGAATGTGTGTACACATACTAATCTCCGTGTTTATGTGAAAAATGCGTTCTCGGATTTACGTCTACTGTTTGTAAATAAAGTAAAGATACAAGAGACGTGGAAAATGTGTGATTAACATATTGAATCATCGTATTGTGACACAAAAATATATATATACAAAAATATATAAAATGATAAATCGATTATGATAAAGAAAATTAAACTTAATTTAATTTAGGTGTTCAAAAAATACTCCATGCATATGTAGATATGTACATACATTAAAACTTTGTAAATTGATATACTGTGACGAATTAAGATATTCGCACAGAAGGTATTTTCCAGTTAGCTGCTACTTTTTGGCGGATTGTCCAATTGGGTTTTAAAAGAAATATTAATTCATTCAAAAACTCAAAATATTACGTTTTCCATTTAATGGACAACAAAAAGTTTAAAATGGGACTGGAAACACATGTTTTGAATAAACACAAGGAAAAGGATAGGAACATGGTCGAAAGAGACTTGCTTCTATTTATTTGTTTCATTTATTTCCTTGTGTAGTAGCGGCCAGCTGATTGTAAAGAATCTTGTTATGAAATAAGACCGTGCTACATTTTCTGTAAAGAGAGAGAGAAAGCACAATAGACAAAACGTAAAATTATTGTTCGTAGCCGCCCCCTTCGACCGCGTGATTTATGATTTGATACGATATGATAGATACGATATCCACCACATTCAGCTACTAATCCAGCTACTAATAAAAAATATGTGGTAACAATCGATTATTTCAGACTTCTTCCAGCTCCCAAATGCAAAGCAAACCGACGCATGAAAATAATATCTCGCTCTCTTTGCATGCTTTTTTGTCTCGTCAATTTGCAGCTAGTCAGTCAGCAAACACTCTAATGTCATTTGGTAATTAACATAAACAATACAGTATAGAGATGGGCCAGTTCATACAATGAAACAGGTCAGGTTCTTCGGCTCCATGGCTTGCTCATTCGGCTTATGACGTGGAGCGAGCCACACAACAAAATTAATGATTTTTTTGCTCTTTGACTCTGCTCTTTCCATTTAATTTTTGTCTTCTGACATATTCATTTACACAAAAGGATGAACGGGTAGTAGTAACAATCTTAATAAACAACCACCGCAGAATCATGAAAACGACCATATCTACCAACGCGAAGAATCTGGGTCGGATTAGATCATTATTATAGCCATAATGAAGAAATTGGCAATATCTTTTGATCGAACATGCTAGGCAGTACCAGCCATCTGGTACATCTATGTCATGGGTCGAACAAGTTGGCAGCCAACTGAACCTCAAGCCGCATAACCTAGTGGTACTGGTGCCACTGCGATAGCAAAATAGTGGCACTGTATCAATGCTACAGGACATATTAGTACGCTCATGTACATACCTACATATGTTGTACATATGTCATTGTTTTGAGTTTTACGTTCTCAATTCAATAAATAAATTAATAGCTAACCCAAATTTTCTTGTTGACATTACAGATGGGCGATGTTGATCCTGAAACGCTATTAGAATGGTTGTCCATAGGACAAGGGGATGAGAGAGATATGCAATTAATTGCCCTCGAGCAATTATGTATGCTTCTCTTGATGTCCGACAATGTAGACCGTTGCTTCGAAAGGTAATGTACACAAGCACGGGTATATATTAATATTTTAATTTATAAATGTGTATGTTTCAGTTGTCCTCCCCGTACGTTTTTGCCGGCGCTGTGCAAAATTTTTCTTGATGAACACGCACCTGAAAATGTTCTTGAGGTGACAGCGCGTGCTATCACCTATTACTTGGACGTTTCTGCCGAGTGCACCAGAAGAATTGTTTCCATTGATGGAGCAATCAAAGCCATTTGCAGTCACTTAGTGATTGCTGACTTATCTTCGAGGACATCACGAGACTTGGCCGAACAATGCATAAAAGTTCTTGAGCTAATATGCACCAGAGAAGCAGGCGCTGTCTTTGAAGGCGGTGGTCTTAACTGTGTTTTGACATTTATCAGAGATTGCGGCTCTCTAGTGCATAAAGATACGTTGCACTCTGCTATGTCTGTTGTTTCAAGACTCTGCACGAAAGTAGAGCCTAATTCTCCATGCATACAAAACTGCGTACAGAGCTTAAGTAATTTGCTGCAGCACGAAGATCCAATGGTGTCCGATGGGGCACTCAAATGTTTTGCATCTGTGGCAGATCGTTTTACACGAAAATGGATAGACCCAGCACCTCTAGCAGAATATGGTTTAGTTGCAGAGTTGTTAAAGCGTCTTAATAGTGTAGGTGGAAATGTCAACGCTCATTCTTCGTCTTTGTCGACAGGGCTTCAGCCGCTGAGCATAACATCTATAACACCAAACCAAGATTCAATTGAAGAGAACAGCACGGAAGAAGCTACAACAGTATCCAGCAGTAAAGTAAAAGCATCTGATTCAGTTCTTTCACCTCAATCGATTTCGACAACAATTTCACTGTTATCAACGTTGTGCCGCGGATCACCTTCCATTACCCATGATATTTTGCGATCTCAATTAGCCGATTCGATAGAACGAGCGCTCCAGGGCGATGAAAGATGTGTTCTCGATTGTATGCGATTTGCAGACCTATTACTTCTGCTGCTATTTGAAGGACGACAGGCCTTGAATCGAGGAAATAACCTTGGCAACCAAGGACAATTAGCTCCTCGCCCTAGACGTAATAACTCCAACACTGATCGTACACATCGTCAACTTATAGATTGTATACGATCAAAGGACTCGGAGGCTTTGCGGGAAGCTATTGAGACTGGGGGAATCGATGTGAACTGCATGGACGACGTTGGACAAACTCTTTTAAATTGGGCGTCAGCGTTTGGTACTTTGGAAATGGTTGAATTCTTATGTGAAAAAGGTGCAGATGTAAACAAAGGTCAAAGGAGTTCATCTCTTCACTATGCTGCATGCTTTGGACGACCAGCTATTGCAAAGATTTTACTCAAATATGGAGCTTATCCAGATTTGCGTGATGAAGATGGAAAAACTCCATTAGATAAAGCACGCGAAAGATCAGATGATGGTCATCGCGAAGTGAGTGCTGTATTGCAATCACCAGGAGAATGGATGTCAACGGATCAGTCGCTTATGAGCAAAGATGGGAAAAAGTATACATTTTTGGAACCGCAGGGTGATCCTGAAATGGCGCCTATATATTTAAAGCTGCTATTGCCCATATTTTGTCGAACATTCTTAGGATCAATGTTGTGCAGTGTTCGTCGGGCTAGCTTAGCACTAATTAAAAAGATTGTTCAATACGCTTATCCATCTGTGTTGCAAAGTTTAAGTGAAACCAGTAAAAGCGAAGATTCCACATCAACAGGAGCTCAAAATGGTGGAAACCTACTTATTGAGGTAGTTGCCAGTGTCTTAGATAACGAGGTAAGTTTGAAAAAATTTATACAATTTCATATACGATTTTACCTGGCACTCTGGAGGCCATCAACACATATAAATAGTCTTCCGATCGGGTAAAAAAAAGGTAAAAAGCGATTTGGTTACTGATAGATCGTAATAAAGTCGCTGTTATGCGCTTAAAAGCAGTAAATTATGCGCTTAACATGACAATCAATGCAAAAACGGAAGCACTTAAAACGGCAATTGCAATTAAGTTGAAATCGGCGCAGCCTTAAATACCTGAATATTTTTCTGTAGATTATTAACTAATACTGCCTGTAAACAACGAATAACATACATTTTGGTCTACATTCCAGGACGACGATGATGGTCATCTAATTGTTTTAAATGTTATTGAAGAAATCATGTGTAAGACACACGATGAGTTTCTCAATCAATTTGCCAGACTTGGTGTATTTGCAAAGGTTCAAGCCTTAATGGAGCATGATGCTGAAGACACCAGTCAACAATTCAGCGGTACTTCGGATGAACTATCTTTATTGCAAAGATCATCTATAAAAGCAGAGTCCCAAAAATCAACTTTAGGTAAACTAAATTATATTTTAAATATACCATATGCTTAGACTTAAACCTTCCATAAATAGAAGATTCATTGGAGGATGCCAAGGAGATTTTACAAGGAAAACCTTATCATTGGCGAGATTGGAGCTTGTGCCGGGGACGTGACTGCTTGTATGTTTGGTCGGATTCAATAGCTCTAGAGCTATCCAACGGCTCCAATGGTTGGTTTCGCTTTATAATTGATGGCAAACTAGCTACAATGTACTCAAGTGGAAGCCCAGAAAACGGAAACGATAGCTCTGGTAATTATAACATTTAAATTATATTTTCAATCCTTTGTTAAGAAAGCAAACCGTTGATTCTAGAAAACAAAAGTAGACAAATAAGTTATGAAGAAGAACGAAGAACGCGTCTCACAACATTCTTTCTTGTTGAATTAGTTTTGTTTAATCAAAATAATTTCAAACATCTAAAATCACTTTCTTTTATTTTCAGAGAATCGCGGAGAGTTTTTGGAGAAACTTTTGCGTGCCCGTTCGTGCGTTGTACCAGGAACAGTATCGCAACCAATTTTACCCACCCCAAGTTCGTTGAGGTTGGTAGTTGGAAACTGGGTTCTGCAGTCTAACAAGGCAAATCAACTACAAATTCACAACACCGAGGGACAACAAGTAACTATTTTGCAAGATGATTTGCTTGGGTTTATTTTTGAGAGCAATAGAGGAACAAAGCATACGTTTACAGCGGAAACAGTTTTGGGGCCTGATTTTGCTTCCGGATGGTCAACCGCCAAAAAGAAACGTATAAAGTCAAAGACAGATGGTCAGAGATTTCAAATCCGTAATTTATCTCGGGATATTTACAATAAGTACTTTAAATCAGCCCAAACAATACCACGCGGAGCAGTGGGCAAGCTTACAGATATAGTTAACCAAATTGAACTATCCTTTGTGGAGCAGAATATATCACCAGATGGAAATTGGGAAACTATATTATCTACTGCATTAACGAAGCTTTCGAAATTGATTCATGAGGATGGCGTAGTGAGTGCATTTGAAATGCATTCATCGGGTCTTGTACAGGCTTTAGTCGCTGTGTTATCAGTTAACCATTGGGAAAGTCAATCGGAAAGGTGCAAGCGAAGCAAAATACAAAAACAACGGGTATCCGTATTCAAGAAATGTATATTAGAAGATAATATTGAATTGATTGCGAACAAATCAAGAGTTAAAAGTACTGCGAGTATTTTAATACAGAAACTTGTCTCAGTTTTAGAAAGTACTGAAAAGTTACCAGTATATTTATACGATGCACCATGCACTGGCTACAACCTTCAAATTCTGCAAAAACGACTTCGCTTCAGGCTGGAACGTGCTCAATCTGAAAATACATTATTTGATCGAACGGGTCGAACTTTAAAAATGGAACCCCTAGCTACCATTGGACAGCTATCAAAATATCTACTCAAAATGGTAGCCAAACAATGGTACGATCTAGACAGATCGACATTCTTCTACCTAAAAAGACTTAGAGAGAGTCAAACTGGTGTTTTATTTACACATTCTTTTGATTTTGACGAAGAAGGTTTGTTGTATTATATTGGTTCTAATGCAAAAACATGCGATTGGGTTAATCCTGCGCTATTTGGACTCGTACAAATAACAAGCTCTGAAGGCAAAACGTTACCCTATGGAAAATTGGAAGACATTTTGTCACGAGATAGCATATCGCTTAATTGTCACACAAAGGATAATAAGAAAGCATATTTTGCTATAGATCTCGGTGTATTTATTGTTCCCACTGCTTATACTTTACGTCATGCGCGAGGATACGGACGTTCGGCACTACGGAATTGGCTACTTCAAGCTTCGAAAGATGGCGTATGTTGGACAACTCTCAGCATTCATATAGATGATAAAAGTCTTCTTGAACCTGGCAGCACAGCGACTTGGCCCATCAATTGTGCATCAGACTCACCCGGATATCGCCACATAAGAATTCAGCAGAATGGTCGGAATGCGTCCGGTCAGACTCATTATTTAAGTGTAAGTGGATTTGAAATTTATGGTCGCGTCATAGGAGTTTCTGAAGATATTGGAAAGAGTGTTAAAGAAGCTGAAGCCAAAATAAGGCGAGAGAGGCGGCAGATAAGAGCTCAACTGAAACACATGACAACTGGTGCTCGTGTTGTTCGTGGAATAGACTGGCGTTGGGATGATCAAGATGGATCTAGTGAAGGAACCATCACTGGTGAAATACACAATGGTTGGATTGATGTTAAATGGGACCATGGCGTAAGGAATTCTTATCGTATGGGCTCTGAAGGAAAGTACGATTTAAAATTGGCTGATTGCGAAAATTATTCATTGTTCGAAAACAGTCAGTCGAT